AAAAAAAACAACATTCACACCAGCACTCAACTTGCTCAGATTGTGCAGTATATCATCTGCCTGACAGATCACATTCAATATGGGATTGCTATGAAGCACAAAACACAGGTAGGATGACACACTTATCCCTAACATTTTAATAGAAGCAACACTATACATGTCTACTCAGAAAAAGTCCCATTGACTTTAATATGGCTTACTTCCGAGTAAGAGGGTTTAGGATTGCATACTCAACCACACAACTGTCACTGGTGCTCTGAAGCCAACAGGGCTGATGTCCCTGCAAACATAAATTAAAGAAACCAATTCAAGTCAGGAAGCATTGAAAATCTTGTTTTGCTTTCATGCCCCCATCTTACTCTCTCCCTGGGAGTCTGCTGTTAACTAATTCTGCATGTTAGCTCACAGGCTGGTTTTCCAATCATCTGGGTCCCCAACCCCATCTCTGGATGCTTAAGAACATTTCTTTCTTTAAACTCAGACAGTAAAGGTGACCCATTAATAAGCAAGCCCACATGTGTTTCATTTCAGAACTTGCACTTTTCAGGGGCATCCTTGAAAATTCCCCATTTATGATTATTTGCCATTTTCTTTCATCATCATATATCACTTTGATGAATCAGAAAACAATTACCAGCAGGATAATTCACAATCTTGACATTGCAGCCACTAGACCTGCCAAGCTGTGACAGCTTAAAATGCTCAAAAATAAGGCCAAAAATGAATGACTCTCATCCCCAAATGAGTTAGAGAGGTTCAAGCTACAGACAGCTGTTTCTAAGCTGCTATCCCAAATTTAGATATGGGGGGGGGGATTATGAGCATCAACACTATGGACTCAAAATTTGAGGTTAAACACAATACATAGTACTCTCCTTTAAAAATTCTGTTCCCAACAGTTTACCATGTTTTCTGAAAACTAACAAATTTACAACAGCCCCAGCAGATTGGGTTTATTGTACCCACTGTTCAGAAAACTCCTAAAGGGGTCCTGCACTGCAGGAGCCTGGACTAAATTACCCTTGGCGTCCCTTCCAACTCAACAATTCTATGAATTTATGACCTGGGCAGCAAGATGAAAGGAATACATAATGTTACAATTTTTTCAGAAAGGATATACACTATTGCACTCTGAATCCCTGCTGATGGCTCAAGATTAATAAGACTCTTACAAGAGTCAATTGCAGGTCCTTTTGTGTGTGTGACTTTTGTCTGCATCAAAGGCAAGAGGAAGAACCAGAGGATGTACCATAAGGTTGACCCAAATCTGGTAAAATCGAATGAATCAATTTTTAGATGCACTCGGCAGTTACAAGGAAAGATGAATTCAGCCTAGTCTCCCAAATGTAGAACAGATCTGTAGAGTTCATGTACCCGGTGGTTGCAAGCACAGGCTCAAAGAACAAATACAGTGGTAGCAAAGTGGGAATAAGGATTCAGAAGAGCAGAGTTGCAGATTCATACCTTATGCATCAGACAAGTCTTTTTTATGCAACGACTGAGAGTCTAAGCATACCTTGAAAGTACCACTGAAATCAAAGGAACTTGCTTCTGAGAAAATGTGTTTAGGTTTAAGATGGGCTGCTTGTACAAAAAAATATATCTCTGGCTTGAGGCTGTTACCTTTGAAAACACATGCACCAATAATCAAGTCCGCCTCTAGGGGGGCTGAAACCATTCAGTGCTGATTCAGATCTACTAAGGCCACAAGCGGAGACTAATAAAATATATCTGTGACAGCACTCCGCACAGCAGAAAGTAAAGTTTGTATTAGGCTCAGCACGTTAGTCATTCCAATTGCATGGAATGTCACCATATCAGTGTTACAGAGCATCTAATATTGGCATGATGTTCTATGAGATTCTGCCAATTTGGTATGTACAATATGAACTTTGAATGCCACATGGAAACATTTCATCCACAATGAGCAAGTAAATAATGTTCAAATCAGACCTGACCCTATCACAGTTCTGATGCAGACTAGATACAGCAGCAATAAAACATTTCCTGTTTGCCAGGAAATAAGGTTCAACTTGAAAGTCATCAATTATCGCATTGTATTCCTGTACAAATCAACCTATGACCAAGTTTAATGATTGCCATAAAAGAGCCCCATCCCAAGGCACACTTATGCTACCCTAATTCAATTATACACAGCTCTACAGAACAGAATTTTGACAATTTCCAGTTTTCCAGAAATCCACGGCTTTCTAGAACACACTTTTCATATGGAACACCCAATCCCTTATATTTCATCCTGACCAAAATAAGAATGTTCCATGTTTAAAAGGGAGAAATTACGCTAAAATTCCTTCTAAACCAATCATTCTTTTGTTTGAATACAGCTTGGAAACCTAAAAGCTGCCCCAATTCCATTAATTTTTCCTCTGCACTATTTCCAGTTCCCTTTACCTTTTTACTGCTTGCTGTTAGAGGACAGCCATGCTGCTCTGTGTCTCCCCCTTCTGCACATACGGTACATGCTTTACTAACCTTGTATGTGATACCATAAGCAGATGAGCAAACTAGACAAGACTTTCGTTTAAAAAAATAAAATAAGAGAGCTTTATAACCCAGAACTGGAAATGCTAATAGCACACAAAGCTTGGAAACAAATCTAAACTAAGACGGAAATGTGAATATAATTATAACCAAAGAATTGCAGGGGAGGGGCACGGCAGGAAACGCAGAATGCTTTATTGGTATTTTGTCACTGGGAAATTGTTTCTTTAAAGGGAATGTTATTATTAAGAATACTAATTTATAATTTATATGCTGCCCATGTGACTGGGTTGCCCCAGGCACTGTAGGTGGCTCCCAACAAAAAATAGAAAAAGCACAATACAACATCACACACAAAAATTGAAGGGCTGCCTTCAGATGTCTTTTAAAAATCACATAGCTGTTTGACATCTGCTGGGAGGGCACAACTACCGAAAAGGCCCTCTGCTCGGTTCCCTGTAACCTCACCTCTCGCAATGAGAGAACCACCAGAAGGCCCTCAGAGCTGGATCTCAGAGCTAGAAGATGGTGGTGGATATGCTCTTTCAAGCATAGAGGGCCAAAGCCATATAGGGATTTAAAGGTCAGCACCAACACTTTGAATTGTGCGCAGAAACATACTGGGAGCCAACACACTTCTTTTAGGAATGGGGTTATATGGTCCTGGCAGTTGTTCCCAGTCACCAGTCTACCTGCTCCATTCTGGATTAGTTGCAGTTTCCGAGTCACACTGAGCGCATTGCAGTAGTCCAAGTGGGAGTTAACCGAGCATGTACCAACCTGGCCACACAACGCACAGACAAGTCTCAGCTGACGTACCAGCAGTATTGCCTCAACTTTACTGCATCTGAGAGAGCACTCAACCTCTAAGGACAGAGACAATACCACAAATAAATTCTAGGAGAATTATGGCACTGTGATCATGTGACCACACAACACTCAAAACTGTAGGAGACACTAAAGTAGGGATGGGGGTAGCAAGAGCTGAAGATGCTATTTCTATGAAATATATATGGTAGCTTGAATAAAGATAACTATCAACAGTGACTTCCAAAATATTGCAAAAATAAAATAAAAAGTAAAAATCCTGCTAAGCACTCCTGTGCATGTTTGTGGGCTCTTTTTATACAGTCTGTTCTGAGGAATGCTCAGTTATCAAGTACAAACACAACCAATCTGCAAGGCAGCGGGCATAAGAAATATTTTTAAAAGTTCTGCATCCTCCAAGATCAAGAACCTGAGGCAGAAGGTACTTCTAGAGGAGTGCATAAGCTAAACAGAGAAGAGAACTGAAAACAGACACATTAAAAAACCTGCAAAAGATAATGAGAGCAGGCAGGCCTCCTGTGGAGAGGCAGGGCCTTTGTAGAGAGAACGAACTTTTTGTCAGATTTCACTCTAAGGTTGCAAACTTTTGAAAGGGCTCCTGAAGCTCTGCCAGCTTGGTAGGCATCTCCAGGCCATGACGATTTCTGCATATTAAACGGCTGTTTAAAAAGTGGAAGGACAGGCCAGCCCAGGTCCTACTGAATCCTCCCCTATTTTAGACGGACGGGGTGGGTTTAGACCACTAAGGTTGCAACGAAGCGCCACCCAACCACCAAGACTCCCTGCGAAGAGGGTGCTAGACCCAGGGGGCGACCCTGCAATGGGGGGGGGCGAGAGGGAGAGGGGAAGCATGGAAAAGGTCCTACGGGCCCCACGGAGGGAGGGAGGCGGGCAGGCGGACAAGGCTACTCACCGGGGCCGGCTCCTCCCCAAACCGGGCCACTACCCCGCCTTCCCCTCCCACCAGCTCAGCGGCGGAGGCAAGTCGGCGGCTCCGCTGCCCCTTGCTGGGAGTGACGGCGGCTCGGCAGCGGATATTTTGCCCGCACTCAAGCTGGCGCCAGCAACTTCACTTCCCGGAGCTAAAATGGAAATAGTCGGCGGCCTCGCTTGAGGGGAAGGGCGGGGCTTGCGGGGGTCACGGGAGCCGTTCTTCTCGCGCCGTCCCACAGCCCGGTCCTTCGGTGTCATCCTGGGTGAAGGCGGCTCAGCATTGGACAAGCAGGCGGGCGGGCGGGCAGCCCTGTCTACTTCTCCCCGGCCCTGGATAGCATCAGCGCCGCCGGCCGACACAGAAGCCCTTTCGGCTTCTTCTAGGGGTCACTTCACTCGACTCCCAGCTGTGGTTTGCTGCACGCGCGGCCTTTCCAGTCACTCTCTGGGGGCTCTGCCTTTTGTTTCCCGCCAACCGGATTGAAATCGGGTTTTCCGCGAGGGGGCTCTCCATTTAAGAACACGCATGTCCTGCAGCCTAATTAGGCCGTAGCGTAGTTATTAGTAGCCTGCCATGTTCCCCAAGAGGGGTGTGTGGTTTTAACAGAGCTGCTACTCTCTTGTGCACAGAAATGAGGTGTGTGAATGAGACATCGTAGAAATGAGTGGGCACATACACACACAGCAGTTGGAGGCGTTTTTTGGAGTGGGGGGTGGTGCGTGCAGGTCGGCGCCTCCTCACGACAGCGGCCATGCCGCCAGGTTGCATCCCCATAGCAACTGCTTCCCGCTCGGCCCTCCCAGTGCCCTCAAGAGAAATGGACGCCCAGGGAGAGGCGGCTTCGATCACGTGCAAACCAAATATCGCGAGGGCGTTCGATTCTCCTCGCGGTTCCCGATCTTTTCGGTTCCCGGGCTGCGCGGTGGGAGAGGTCTCGCGATACGTGTCTTGGAGAGAGGCGCATCTCGCGGGATCCACGAGAGTTCCGGGGGAAAGGCGGGTACCTCGGGGGCGGCGACGCGGGGATAAGATGGCGGACGAAGCGGATAGCAACGGGGACGCTTCAGCCTTACCGGTGGGGAAGGAGGCAGGTGAGGCGGGGGCGCTTCTGTCATCTTCCTTCTGAGGGAGGCGGGGGTTTGCCTCCTCCTTACTCTGCCCCGCCCGGCTCTGCTTTACTGCGCTGCACCAGGAGCGTGGTGGGTGGGGCCTGTTGGCCTCTCTTCTCCCCACTTCGACCCGCATGTGGCTGCCAGTGGCTACCGATTCTTTTGACCCACGGAGGCGGAGCGAGCGTCCCTTTAACGCTGCGTTCTTTCCGCCACCTCCAAGAAGTCCTCCGCTGCTTGTTTCGCAGCCTGAAGCTTCCAATTCCCATCGATCCTGGTTTTTAATATACACACACTCACAAAATGTAAGATTTTGTAGGCTAGGTCCCACAAAAGCTTGCATCTTACACATTCAGGTCTAGCCATCACTTCAGCTGCCTCAAGGCTTCAGTGCTTATTGAGCGGGCGTAGAAGAATGTGTCGTCCTCCCCCTGCTAGTGAAATCCTCGTTAGAGTGGCTTTAGATCTGGCTTCTCTGTCCCCTCACATGCCATTTGTTCCTTGCTCTTCTGTGTGATGAGGGAAGTGAACTTTCGTGTCTGCTTTATGGGACAGTGTATGATTCGCAGATTATGGTACATATGCAGCTCTCCCCCTACTATGTATGGTTTGTGAATGTGTGGCTGTGTGATTTCCTAAATCCCCTTGGCTTGTTTTTTTACGAACGGGATTAGATTTCTATCCTCCTCCTAATGGGTTGAAAATACATACTCTCCTTTCTTCCTTAAACTTCCAGAGTGGTGTCTTAAAGAAACAACAAACTTTACAGTGTCCAAGTTCTGTGCCATACATTTCAGTTATTGATGTGCATGCAGTTCCCGTTCAGAACAATAAAATTTATGAACAGCAGCAAAATGTTCTTGTTGGGATGTGGGTGAGGGTGGATGAACCTAGGATGAGTGAGTACCTGCAGAGAACTCTTGATTTACTGCAGCATTACTGTCTACTGGTCTGCAACCTGTGTAATACGTGTTCTGTGGTCACAGTAAAGTTAGACAATTTGCAAGAAATTGAAAATGTTGGTGAAATAACGGGAAGGCATGAGAATGGGGGTGATAAACATGTGGGTTGGGTGTGTTTCCTCATCCCTTAATCACTGAAATCCTAACCCTGTGCTTTCTGAATCTTTGTCATTCAGTGACATGTAGGTTTGCCAGATTATGGACAGTGCAAATATTCAGCTTGTAAACTTTATTCTGTTATGTTGTACTGTACTGCCTTGGACAGGACTCAAAAATCTGTGGCCTTCCAAATGTTCCAACTTCCATCAGCCCCAGTCAACTTGGCCAATGTTCAGGTATGATGGGAGCTGGAATCCAACAACATCAGGAGGGCCACAGGTTCCCTATCCCTGCTTTCGATGCTGATTTTGTATTTTTATAGACCCAATTCCTTAAATGCAAGTCTCACTGGAGCATTCCCCCTGCCCCCATTCAGCTTCTTTCGAAATAGCTGTACAAATATATATTTAATGCAATATGGTGGTCTTAGGACAGCAGTCTTACTCTCGTTCACAATTGCTAAAATTTTTAGAAGCATTTTGTTTACTGTAGAAAAGGTGAAACAGGAGTCTCTGCCCAGCTGTTACAGGAAAACTACTGTTTATAATGTACTCAAAGCTCTCCCCCCCCCTTAACTTTGTTCTGTTGTTACCATGTCCAGTTGTGAACCTTTTGGTAGAAATGTGTAGTGAGTACAGTTCTGTTTAAAGTTTGATGTTTCTTGTTAAGCCACCGTATGTCACTAGGCTGCAGAAAATACTTTGTGCTGTTAGCAATTGTCATATTTAATCATTACTAAACTGAATTACAACTTATTACTAAACTGAAAACTATGGAGAGACCTGGTCTGAATAGAGATATTGGATTCTTGTCTCATCACACATTCTAAAGCTATTTTTGGTCATCTGCATACTATCCCTTGCTTTTTCCTGTAGGACTAATTGCAGTCGTTAACAGTTGTCAACTTCTGTTTCAGTGTATCTGAAGAAGTGTGCATGCACATGAAAGCTCATACCAATAACAAACTTAGTTGGCCTCTAAGTTGGCAGACCAACACCTACCTGTAACTAGTCGTCAACAGGTTTACCATACCCATTGAGTCAATCACCCATCTCCTGCAACCCTTCTGAGAAAAACCCCACCCCACCCTCCCACTATATATAAGGGTCTGGTGACTTCTGTTTCAGTGTATCTGAAGAAGTATGCATGCACATGAAAGCTTATACAGTGGTACCTCAGGTTACATACGCTTCAGGTTACATACTCCGCTAACCCAGAAATAGTGCTTCAGGTTAAGAACTTTGCTTCAGGATGAGAACAGAAATCGTGCTCTGGCGGCAGCGGGAGGCCCCATTAGCTAAAGTGGTGCTTCAGGTTAAGAACAGTTTCAGGTTAAGAACGGACCTCCGGAATGAATTAAGTACTTAACCCGAGGTACCACTGTACCTAGAACAAACTTGGTTGGTCTCTAGGGTCTACTGGACAATTATTATTTTTTTATTTCGAGAGTAATATTGGATATCTAAGTAATGCTAGATAGTGTGCTGAAAGTCAACTATTACAAGTTATCTGTTTTATTAAATCAACTCTAACTTTTGACTGCCTCTGCAAGTAAGGTATTTCTTACAACGTAAATTCAAGATAAAAGCATCACTAACTGCTTGTTGGAATGATATTAACCTAGATTATATAAAATATGTGAGTTTAGACTGAGTGTTATTTTGGAAATGATCTTAATTTAGTAGTAATTTTTTTTTTACTAGGTTCCTCAAGACATAAGAGTTGTATACTTCTGTGTGAGATGGGGTGGTAGTGGAATAAATTTACTCAAGTTCTGTATATGCTATGCAAATAATGATAATGAGATTAAATGCACTTGTGGATTCAGCAAAGGTGCCACAAGTCTTCTGTCACTAACCTTCCTAAGGATAGTCTACCGTATTTTTCGCTCCATTGGACGCAGTTTTTCCCCTCCAAAAATTGAGGGGAAATGTGTGTGCGTCCTATGGAGCGAATGCAGGCTTGTGCCATAGCCGCACGCAACCCCTCCGGCATGGAGAGGCTGCACGGGGCTATGGCTTCTTTAGCCCTGCACAGCCTCTCCCGGCAGGGAGGGATTGCGCGTGGCTAAAGAGGAAGCCAAAGCAGCCAGCGGGATCCATCTCCGGCAGGGAGAGGTTGTGCGCAGCCTGTACGCTGCTCTTTGGGGCTGGGGGGGGGAGAGATTTTTTTTATTGATTTCCCCGTCTAAAAACTAGGTGCGCCCTATGGTCCAGTGCGCCCTATGGTGCGAAAAATACGGTATTTGATACCAAGTTTTCCCTTTCATTTTTTTTTATTTTAGTAATTTAAAGCATTTTCACCACATACTTCAGCCAAACAGAGTCCCAAAGTAACTTCTAAATTAGTATTTTTTTTAAAAAAAATGTATTTGCCTTCAGAGTTACAATCTAAAAGACACGAAAGGAGCTGGTCTCTCAGCAGAGTTGGTAAAATAGTTATTCTTCCCTTCTCTCCCTCTGCTGCAGCCTCTATGATTATGCAGAATGGGCTGGAAATAATTGAGGATATATGATTGAGTGTTTTTATCTGGGATGTATAGATGAGGCAGATAGTAGTGATGAGAGGCCTAATAGACAAAATCAGAACTGACGAATTGCCAGGTCCAGATGGCAGACACCTGAGAGTTCTCAAAGAACTCATATGTGAAGTTGCTGATCTTCTAACAAAAATATGCAGCTTGTCCTTCCCACCCAAGGACTAGAAAGTAGCCAATGTAACAACAATTTTGAAAAAGGAACCCGTGAGGGGAGAATCTGGGAAATTACAGAGCAGTTAGCTTAATGTCTGTACTGGGGAAACTTGCTAAAATAACCAAGCATATAGAAGAGCAAGCCTTACTGAAGCAGAGCCAGCATGGCTTCTGCAAGGGCAAGGCCTGTCTCACAAGCCTATTAGAGTTATTTGAGAGTGTCAGCAAGCATATGGATAGAGGTGATCCAGTTAACATAGTATACTTGGATTTTCGAATCCATCAAAGAGTCCTGCATAAGTCAAGGAATAAGAGGATAGCTCCTCTAGTGGATCAGGAATTGGTTATGTTGCAGGAAGCAAAGAGTAGGAATAAATGGACAGCTCTCCAAATGGAGAGATGTAGAAACTGGAGTCCTACAAGGTTCAGTATTGGGACTTGTGCTTTTTAACTTGTTAATAAACAATCTAGAGTTACGAGTGAGCAGTGGGGTGGCCAGGTTTGCTGATGATACTAAGCTGTACTGGGTCATTAAAACAAAAATAGATCTCCTTCCCCTGATGTGCCTAATGGCAGTATTTGAAATGCACTTTGTCATGTCAATATAATGATTTTGAGGAGTTTGTAAAGTGAATGTAAGGGATGTGTTTTGAAGACAATTACAAATCAATCACAGCTGTGAAGGTTTTCTACCCTCACTTTTGTATATTTCCAGTCTGCCTCTTACTCAGTGTGTAAATAGCAACTTCTTGCTTGTAAGATCATTGCCTAAGAGACCTGCATACATGCACACCACACTGACCAAGCTGCTGACCACAAAGTGATACTTATCATCTTGACACTGTTGAGGCACTAAGCATTGCAACTTTGGAAATGGAAAACAATTCCAGACATTCTGTGCGTCTCTAACTGAAAGACCCATTAGCCGATTGACTGTTTAGCTGAAGACTAATGAAAGCATTGGCATTGTACTTAAAATTGGGCATGGATCAATGGTAGGAAGAAATATCGAGCCTTTCTGTGTAGTGTTCTGTGCTGACTTAAACGACATTATTTACATGGTAAATCATTAATTGCAGTTGTTGGAAATGGTTTTATTCTGCAGCGGACTCCTGGCATGTCACTTAACAGTAGAGTTACTTCTGCCTTTGCATGATTCCTTATTGTTAGCCTGTCCTTTATGTAGCAGTGTGGAAATTGCTCAATCCTATACTTCATCCCTGATGGAAAGTATGCTATGCAGCGTATCAAAGAAACAGTAGACATCTCATTCTTTGCTGTGTTATTACTAGATGATTCCCACCTCATGTGCATTTTCACCCTTCTTTGAATGTGGGATAAGAAAAAAAAACCTGCCTTAATGTATTTACATGTTTTAAATTATGTCTCCCCGATTGGGGAATTGAATTGTCATTATCTGCCACAAGACCTTTATTTAACCAGTGTTCAAAGTTGGTGCGAACATTTGTGTGATGCTGGCAAAACCCCTAAGAGGTGATAGCTGGGCCCTTGGCAAAGTTTCCTTGTTTTGTTTTGTTTTGTTTTGAATATTGGTGTGCTTGCTTTTTGCAGTGGATCGTATGATCAAAGAGAACAGCCACATCTTCACAGATGCCCATTGTAAAGTGTGTAGTGCAGTGCTCATCTCCGAGTCACAGAAGCTCGCTCATTATCAGGTATGCTTAAATCTACAGGCAGTTACTGAAATTTGCCCAGAGTGTGTGGGATTCCTGAGATGGTTATGTTGCTCTTCTATACTGTTTCCTTCAGAGTAAGAAACATGCCAACAAAGTTCGTCGATACATGGCTATCCATGGTGAAGAGGAGGTCTGCTCAAGCAAGAAAATAAAGCTGGATACAAAGCAGGTAATGCCAGTCAGGCCAGAAATCCAAGGACAAGTAAAAGAATTTAATGCACTAGAAAGTTTGGCAAATAGCGTTTCTTGGATTGTGGAATAATGCACCAGTGAGGATTTTGAAGATCAGGCACTGTTTGCAAGAACAATCTATGCATTATTCTGCTTGGGCAAATGCACATTTAAACTTTGCCCACCTAATTGTATGTACCTGTACACTGAAAAATGAAGAAGCTGAGTGCAAGGAGATAACTCATTCAAAAACCATTGGGAATAAAATGGTTATACGCTCTACTTATAATAAGCCCTTTTCATATTAAATTTATTTGAAAAGTAGAATTCAGCCTTGGCACACTGTTGGGAATTCTGTTTGTAGTAACAGAAACTACTAACTGAATGGCAATTGTATCTTGCTGCATAACATGTCTTGAATAGCTTTAATAGTCTTCTCTAGCTTCTTTCAGTGTGTTCCGTAAAGGATAGGGTGAAGCTGAACAAAAGAAATTCCAGTTACTGAACTTGGAACACTTTGCTGATGAACTTTCATTCTGCAGCCCCAGTAATTTTTTTTCCATTCCTTCTTACAAACAGGAGGGCAGCAGTGAAGAAGACAGGAACAAATGCTGCCCCATCTGTAATATGACCTTTTCGTCGCCTGTTGTGGCTAACTCCCATTACCTAGGCAAGACCCATGCCAAGAATCTGAAGCTGAAGCAGCAACCTCCTAAAGCAGAAGGTACAGAGGAATTGTCTCCTGGTGCTGTGCTGAAAAGTCCAGGTCAGAATAGGCTCCTGGGTATCTATTGTACAAACACAGAAGAGTGAACCCTGCTTCACATATATGATAATGAGGCAGACACTGAGGGAGTTCAAGAAAACATGTTTTCCAGTTGAAAATTTGCATTCTGGTGTGATTAATTTTCTTGATGACCCTGGTGGTCAGAGATAGATAGACATAAAAAACCTTACACCAAAATCTTTCTTTGTTATCTTTGATCACTGTTTTGGTAGCTAATATTTATGTATATGCCCACAGTAAGCTCATCCAAATCTTATGTAGAAAATAATTATTCTAAGTGGGATGTTTTGGTACAATTGAGATTATTGTGTTTGTTCTGATTACATGAAATTGTGCCTTAGACTTTTCTGATTGGATTTTCTTCATATGTTTTGGGGGGTTGATTTTACAGGAGCTGTACCTGCTCAGAAACAACCAGCTAATCCGCCTCCCACTACTGTGCCCTCTAATGAAGAGAACCAAAACACTTCTGACCCAGACAAATTCTGCAGTCTCTGTCATGCCACATTCAACAATCCCCTGATGGCAAAACAACACTACGTGGGCAAGAAACACAAAAAGCAGGAGACCAAACTTAAGCTAATGGCACACTATGGGAGAAGCCCCGATGAACCTGTGGCTTCAACAGGTGAGTTTTTAACAGCAAGACTTTCCAGAATAAAGAGCGTGAAGAGTTGTAAAGGTTTGCAAAGCCACAACTCGCCTTCTGTTGGGAATGCCCTGCATGGAAAGCAAGCTCTCAAATAATTCACTACATTAGGTATACCAGTTGTAGAGGGAATGGGCTTGAATTGATCCCTTCAGTTGGGGACAGGCAGAAGTAGTCGGGGAAATCTTGGTTTGGGGTGGGAAAGACTCCCAGCTCCCCACAAAATCCTGAACACGAAGAAGAACCTCCAGCCACACATGTGTACTTGAAAGGAGGGAGGTGGTTGAAACTTGGAAGGGTGAGAGGAAAATGCAGAGTGCTGGATGAATGTGAGTGAAGGTGAGACAGTGGAAGACTAGACAAGAATGTAGGAGTCACAGCAAGGCATGACCAAGTTATGGGCAAGAGCTTTTGCTGAAGGGGCAAAGAGAAGGGCCCATATTTTTGTAATGTTGGAAAGGGAGAAGCAAGATGACTTGGAAATGGACCGACTTTGGGGGGCAAAAGTTGAAAAGAAAAGCAATGGTTTATGCCTGTGGGTGGTGACAGTGCCAATTGAAAAAGCACGTGAATGGGGAAATAAGGGCTTCTGAGAAAATATGAGAAGTTGTCCAGGTTATATTGAGAATTACCAGGTAGTTGGAGGTGTTGGATTGAATGGAGAGCAGAGAATTGACAGTGTATTCTCTCTCTCTTTCTTTTTTTTACTAGTCTGTCTACACCAGGCATAGGCAAACTGCCCTCCAGATGTTTTGGGACTATAACTCCCATCATCCTTTGCTAACAGGACCAGTGGTCAGGGATGATGGGAGTTGTAGTCCCAAAACATCTGGAGGGCTGAGTTCGCCTATGCCTGGTCTACACACTTTGAAAAGGAAACTTTCTGAATTACATGAGCATGGGAAGTAGGTGGGAGAAAGAGACAAAGCTTCACTGTGGCTCTGTGATAGTTACACTGTAATCAATAGGTCAAACAAAATACTGAAGACGTACAGTACTGCATATCCAGCAGAGAACATTTCTCCTTGGCTTTGGATAAAAATCCAGCTCCCAACGTGACATAGTCGTTCACAACATGATTGTATTCAGTACAAAGAATATAGAAGACATCAACCATGGCAGTAAACAGTGCTATTACACCCATCATTTCCAATATAGTCACCTGTGTTGAATACCTCATCAGCATGTAAGATGTTGGATGCAAGCCAGGTTTAACTCCTTGCTTGATTATCAAGATGCTAGTTTAGGTCTGATCACTTTAGGGCTAACCACTGAGGCACTCAAAGAGGTTAGCCCTAAAATGAAGAGAGAGAGAGAAAGAGAGAGAGAAAACAATTGGTCTTGGTACCATGTATGGAATCTGCATTAAGATGGAATGTGGGAAGAGCTAGTAAATGAAGGTATGATAGATGCTTTGCAGGTTTGAGGTTGCATTTACGGCAGTTAGAAGGAAAAATATACAATGACTGAGTCCCCATTTCTGAGAATATAAAATCCACCTGTTACCTGGATCTATCTTTATGTACTGTAGATAAGCAGCTATGAACATATAAAAGGAAGCAATAGAAAAGGGTGTATTGAAAAGGCCGCTGAAGAAACAATATCTTTCAAAGTGCCTTTTTGATTAGGGCAAATGTTTGCATACATTGTGGATTTGACAACCATCAAATGAAGCTGACCTATGGGAGGGAATTAATTTATTTTCAAAATTGCCTCAGCAAGGTAGTTAAGACTATGGAATTTAAATAAGTAACATCTTGGAAACATATGGTTTAATAAATGAGTCTGGGCTATCCAACCCCAAAGCTTGAGCCATCTACAAATTAGTCTGACAGTGCAAGCATTGGCAAATTCAAAGCCATTTGAAGTAGCTGAAGTTTTATTACATCACTTAAGTCAAGCTACAGTTGGTTGATTTGAAAAAAAAAAGTTGAATATTCAAAATATACATCTGTAGAAAACAATGAGAACCTGCTAAGGTTTGTGCAGTATCTCTCTGGATTAGAAAATGGAACCTTTATTACAGCTTGTATCAAGCAATGATACGCAGTGCAAAGCATCCAAGAAATTTCTTTCAAAGTAGTGACTTAGCTATGCATTTTGTTGAAAAAAAGACATTGTGATGGTATTAAGGTTCATTAACACAAAGTGGCATAATAAGTGGAGCTCTCAACTGTGTGTTTTGAACATATACAAAAATTGTTCACTCTTAAAGATTGCAGAATAAGAACCTAAAGATGAATACTGAATATATATGCCAGAAACCTTATTTATTTTTAAGTGCATTTAATTGGGAAAGTAATTCCCAAGTAAAAAGTAATTCCCAATTAAAAACAGCCTCTGCCTTTCAGCTTTAATAACGCGTAGTGTGATTCTGTACAGAGTTGGATGTGAATAAGTTCCATGCCACACAATAGACTGGCATGCACAACTTTGCACAGAGTAGGACTGAATAGGAACATAATGATTAGGAGCAGGGTATTTAATGTGCCAATGTGCTTTTCACATGCCTGGCAGATAGTAGGTGCAGAGAGGAGCAGTTCAGCAAAGGGTAGAAGCAGGGAGAGAGAACTGAAACGCAGAAGGAGAATTTGGTATCCAAATGAACACAAGCAGATTATATAAATTTAATGTGAGTCAAAACTAAAAGGCTGAACTAAAATAGCCTCTCCATATGCAGGCTACCATACGGACTCACTGTTAAGACCATGTTCATGGAAGGCAATCTTACTGTGCCACGAGCAATCACCACAGAATAAAGAAGAAGGGTGGGTGGGGTAATGTTTCAGAAGATAGAGGGCAAAAGTCAATGATGACAAGTCCTTAGATGCCCCTGTCAGAAAGATGTTTCATCATTGCATATTTTCATTCTAGCAGCTCTGGGGATTTTGAAAGGTAGCTAGCATTACCAGGAGGAGCAGTGCTGAGTTTTGCCACCTAGCTTGAACTTTGCTCATCACATCCCCCCCACACACACACCAGTCCTGCCCCCCTTTAGCTCCTTGATGCCTGTAATTTGGGGGCAGTGTTCTCAGATAAGAACATTTGTCTTAAAATATAATATATAACTTATAATAATATAACTTTATCGAGGTATTTGAACAGTGGAGAGGTTTGGTAATTCTACATTTGTGCTGATATTTTTATTGTGCACTATCCTCAGATACTTTTTGAGGGTGTTTTTTTGGGGGGGAAATGGTTAAGAAAAGCAAAAATAAAATAAAATAATGGGTGACATCCAGCTGTGTCAGAACAGATTTCCAGTTGTGCAAATGGGACTTCTTCTACCTCTCCAGCTGCTGCACATCCCGGGAATCTCTTCCAGAGGGAGGGGGACCCTCTGGAGGAGATTGGGGAGTACAGGGGACTGTGGAGGGAAAAGAAGACACAGGGTTGACTATCCCCCATGTCCTGTTACAAAATCCAGGCAAACTAACAAGCTCCTCAAACACATCCTGAAGAAGGGGGGAAATAAAGCAATGCATATTTAAGGGAGAGAGGGAAACATGGTCGGCAGAGTATATAGAACAAATAATATGCAAACAATGTATGCATAGAGGGTAAGTTGCAGATCTAAATATTTTTTTAAAAAATAGAAAAGTAATAATAACCTTTATTTAATATAGATCAAACCCAGGGGGAAACCCAGAACCAAAATCTTACCAAGGACCAGGGAACTTATCTATGGAAGGAGAGCACAAAAATACTCTTGGTAAGAATCAAGGGGGGGAAATAGATATACAAGAACATTGATACAGGTTATACTATTTTCAACAAATAGCTAAAATGATAATACAATAGCAGCAATGTTATAGGGCATGGAAGAAGTGGTGAAAGAGAAAAGAGAATTCCTAGGGACAGTGGAGAAAAGAAATAAATATGTTATAAAAAGCAAATGATATGTGATCTCCAATTCAAAATTGCTTTGTTTGGAAACAAGCAGGAGCACTAGAAGAGTTGAACAGTAATGATAAATAAATAAATCCACTGGATTCTACCCGAATTAAGAGTCCTGGTTTTGACCTTCAGGGTTTTAAAAGGACTTAGATCAAGCTAACTTAAAGACCACCTCAAAACTTCTCAAGCTGAGCTCATTAGAGGTCCTGTTCTAGATGCCTCCACCTTCAGATGGATGGCTACTATAGGCAGGGATTTTTTGAGTGGAGTGCCTTCCTTAGAACCCCCTTTCCAAGGAGGCATAAATGGTATGCCCTCCCCTTCCAAAGGTCCCAAGACTGATCTTGCCTGGAAAAGTCCCTTGAGGAAAATGCTCTGGGCTGTAGTTCTTCTTACTACTGCTTGCACTATTGATAATGTTAGGGAAACTTGTTTGTGATTATATCTTACATTGCAATTTTCTCTTGTTAGCTGATGTAGGGGCCTCTTGCTTGGCAGAAATGTGAAACATACAAATAAAAAAAATGCTGAATTCAAGAAGAAACAAACATTTGTATGATGTGGCTGTATTAGATGTATACAGTTGGTGTCAAGTTTAAAGAATATTGGTAAAGTACAGAAAACGTCCTTACTGAAGAAGAAAAAATAGCAGAGGATATGAATGATATTAATTACCAACCCCTCACCCTAGCATCCCAGTGCAGGTTACAACATTTAACCACAATATTTAAAAGAGTTTAAAACAATGTGGGCCCTAAAAATATACATCTAAATTTTCAAAAGCCAGGGTAAAGAGGTGTGTCTTCAGCATTTGCTGAAAGCTGTATAATGATGGTACCCTCTGTGCGGCAGGAGCTCCACAACATATGGGCCACCACAGAGAATGTCCTCTCCCAGGCCACCACCCCCACTTGAAGTCTCCAAGTCATCTTCAAGGGCAGCTCCATGTAGAGTGCTTTGCAATAACCCCATCTTGAATTTAGGAAGCATGGAGTACAGTAGCCAACTCATCTCTGTCTGAAAGGAGCTGTAGCCAGCAAACCAGCCAGTGCTGGGCTACATGACTATATATGTTATACAAATATGACTACAATGCAAGATCATACGAACAGGCTTCCCCCTTTTTTCCTTCCTCAGAAGCCCCATGCACCATTCAGAGCTGCTCTGGAGGGGTCCCCCAACCCTTTGGAGCAGTTTTGGGGGAGAATGCAGGAAGAAGAAAGAAAGAGGAAGTCCTGTTGTGCAAGTGGGAAATCTGCTGCCCTCTTGCAAACAGATATCCTGTATATAAAGGCTGTGAAAATACTATTCAGTGTTAATGAAGCAGACCTTGGTATCAGTTGCTTGGTAACAGGGAAATGGCAGCAGAATGGTGTAGTTGGAAGGTAATCATCTTGCCCTTTCCCTCTCTGACAGCCTTTTAAGCCCCCTGAAAAGCCACTGTCAGTGGTTGGTAGGCACTCCTGAATGCAGTAGGCTGTGGTGTGGTGAGCTGGGTAGAGGCAGTACCCCTTTCCCCCACTGCATTCAGAGTGTCCCCCAACCCATTTGTGTAGGTTTTCAGGAGGCCTAGAAAGCTGTTGATGAGAATCGCGGTACAGTAGCCACAGAAAAATAGTGTGAATGAGTTTTTAATTTAAGGTATGTTTTTAATTTAAGGTATGTTTTTAATTTAAGGTATGTAGAAAGGTAGGGACGCGGGTTGGCGCTGTGGGTAAAAGCCTCAGCGCCTAGGGCTTGCCGATCGAAAGGTCGGTGGTTCGAATCCCCGCGGCGGGGTGCGCTCCCGTTGTTCGGTCCCAGCGCCTGCCAACCTAGCAGTTCGAAAGCACTCCCTGGTGCAAGTAGATAAATAGGGACCGCTTACTAGCGGGAAGGTAAACGGCGTTTCCGTGTGCGGCTCTGGCTCGCCAGAGCAGCAATGTCACGCTGGCCACGTGACCCGGAAGTGTCTCCGGACAGCGCTGGCCCCCGGCCTCTTAAGTGAGATGGGCGCGCAACCCTAGAGTCTGTCAAGACTGGCCTGTACAGGCAGGGGTACCTTTATGTAGAAAGGCATGGTACTTTGACTTCCAACTCCTCAATGGGGTTTGGCATTTCAAAATAAAACCAATCATCAACAGCTGATTACCTTCACTTCTGTGGCACAACGTAGCAGGAATAAGAATTCGTGTCATTTCAGTAAATTCAACTAAAACCCCAAATCTTCCTCCATCGAAAGACAGTGAAGTTTCATAGTTCTGCAACAGTATTGTTGTACCCATGCCCATTTTTTGTTCATTTAGAAACTAGTAGATTTTTTTTTCATAGGCTAATAGTTCACCTTCTCTTCCAGTACATACAGAATGAATCCTTTGTTCTTGATGTTTGGCTGCTGGGGGGGGCGGTAATTCAGTGATGGGGGATCATTAGGAAAGGAATTGAAAAGTAAAAAATGTAAGTGCCTTTATATAAGTCTATGGTGTGATCACACTTGAAATACTGTGTACAGTAGTAGTCACTGCACGTCAGGGAAAATGTTGTAGATCTGGAAAAGGTGCAGAAAGAGGCATCCTGAATGATGCTGTGGAGGAGAAAATCCCCTATTAGGAAGGATCACATTTGAGGTTTCTTAGCTTGGGGAAAAACGGTGGTGTGAGACCCATGAGCATAACAGAGGTTTATAATTTATGCATGGTATAGAGAAAGTGGATAGGAACACGTTTTCTCCCAGGGTCATCTAACGTTGAATGGTGGGAGATATTTCAAGTTTTATGTGTGTTGTTTTTTGTTGAAACCTTTAATGTATTTTGTTCCTCCTTGCTGAGAATGCTCCTCTTGAGTCTTTAGCAGTGTGATTGGTGAGCCAGTGTACAGAAGCAGTGTCATGAATTCACCATAGTATGTTCAATCCTTTTGAGAAGAGTTTTCATCAGGCTGTTTACAAGGTTTGGGTAAATAGCCCTTGATTAAGCCTTTAGTGTTGTTGTGTTTATGATAAATTGACTCCCCTTCTAGCTGACTAGAGAACTTTATTTTACATTTCTCATGATCCTTGAGTGAAAAGACAGAAAATTCATTTTCTTGGTTTGGATTTATTTGATTCATTGAAATGGGGACAGGTGGGAGTTAAGGTAGAGGCCCCAAAAATGTTAGTTTTATTAAGATCTGGAACTCCCAAACTGTCAACACTTGCAAATTAGAACTGAGAAAATTGTTCACAGAAATTGCTTAAAAACTATTTCCAGCTAAGATAAGTTGGGGGAAGTGGAAGGATGCCAAAGACTGATGTCTGCTGTTTCATAGTCATACAGTATTAAGTGGCCACATCACACGCTTGTTGACTATGCCTCTGTGTGTGCTGCACCTCCTTTCATGTGGATGCCCATTTTGACTCCTATATTCCACACAGGGTAGCATGGTAGACTTGTACTATGGAGGTGGGTTTACAGCAGGGGATTAGGCTTTTGCCAGTGAATGCCTTCCATCCATTAGCCTCAGCCAGCATGGTCAATGTTTAGGGTTGAGGAGAGCTGTAGTCCAAGAACCATCTGGAGGACACCACATTGGCCACCCTTGCCTAGACAAACTCAAAAATTTCCTACTACTGCTGTGTAAAAAGTTGCTTTTCCTAACCATTGGGGAACAGGTATTCCAACAGTGTTCAAGTTACTTACATAACTGCATTTCCTATAATTAAAGCCCATTGAGAGAGAATGTTGGGGCTGTTACAGCAAAGGAGATGGTAGCTACAGGCAAGAACACTTTAATATGCTTCCCAAGTGAGAATTCTGAGGCATCAGATGGTTACAATCTGTATTTCCAACCAAATTGATTCTACAAGTGGCTGATCCAGTTTCACAGTTAGGAACCGTTCTGGAATGTAGCCTTAACACAATTTTTCTCATCTGAGCAGATGCTTTGAGCCTTGGAATTCTCCATAGTGCACAGTTGCCATTATAATATACCCATTCTTCATTCTTTCCTACAATGTGGCATCCATACTTGTGCAGTATTAGCATGAAGACACTGGTGTATTCCTTGCCTCTTAAATTCTCCTCTCACTGATACCAGTCCCCTAGATGATAAAACAGACATACGTGTCTTTACTGGAGAACTATACTGAGGAAAATCCACCAACATAGCTTGAATACATTATATACCATACTTACAAAAGGTGGTTCAGCAGTACAATCCTGTGTATATCTACTCAGAATTGGGTGTCAGTGTGTTTTTTGGGACTTAGTCCCATGCAGGTTGGTTTAGGATTGCAGCCCTAGTAACTATAGATGACCTGAAGCAGATGAATCACAAAATGGAATACTACTGCATTATGAAACACACTGTGTCTCATTCTGTTTCTTTGCTTTAAAATATTCTACTTTTCTTCTGGAACAATTTAAGCATCAGAGCAAAAGGGACAAATATAGAAAATAAAATTGCAGTGGGAGTCCTGTGAAGAACAGGAGATCGGTGATCACATCTTCCTGTATTTCTGTTTTTACTTTTTCTAGAAGGGCACGTACTTGAAACTGTTGCAGCAAAACCAACAAAATGTATTGTGACACCTTAAAGGGTAACATTTATTAGTACATAAGCTTTTGAGAACTAGAGTGCTTGTGCCATATTAAATTTGCTATTCTTTAAGGTGCCCCAAGACACTTGAAGTGGAATTCAGCATCACACTGTGCTGGTCGTTTGTCAGTGCAAGCATTGCTTGCCAAATGGAATAACCTCCTCTCTCTCCCTCCCTCCCTCCTTCCCTCCCACCACACCCTGTTCTGGTTATTTTTATTTTAAATGCCCCCCCCTAAATTTAATTGGAGCAGTGGCCCTAGGAAAGCAGGGGGTTAGGCCTAATGCCTTCCATGTCATTTTCTTTGTCTTACACACCCCCATGTATTGCAGCAGGTGAAAGATACCTGTGTATTTTTCCCCAGTGGGGCAAACAGCAGTTGGGGTAGAAACATTTAGATAATAAAAATGGTGTGAGGGAGAATTACCCAGCACCAGTGCTCTACTCAGATTTTGAAACTCCCTTCAGTAGTTGTCAGCAAAAATAGATATATTTGGAGACCTAATCGTGGATCTCCCACATCTTCTGTAATTGACCCTGAGTCAGAGGAATGTTCTTGGAAACGTTGATTAAGCTCACTGTGTGCTGAGAGATCATTTTACTATGCAACTTAAAAGTGGCAGCTTGGAGCTGGATAGCAATGCTTAGAGCAGTGGTGGGGAAGCTCTGGAACTATGAGCCTAATATGGGCCTAATTAGGCCCAGCAGGGTTCCCCCAAATTAAGCCCACCTGCCCCACACTTGACATCATATACGGCATCGGTTGTGGGGTAGGTACAGATGTGCACTCCTGGTTGATAAGCGGGGCTTGTATTTGACCAACCTTTTATATTTGGTGCCCAATGCAAGCCATGCTGTGGCTGATTCCACTCAACTCCTGAGTGGAGCCTATCTCTGCAAACTCTGCTTTGGCAGGAATCTTCCCTTGCAGCCCAGCTTGAGTTCAAGCTAAGCTAGCAGGGAAAATCATGAGTCCCTCAAATTTTTCCTATGAATTTTTGTCTCCTGCTGTCATGATGACCTGCCATAGGATGGCCCTTTCCACCTGTCCAGTGACACATGGGGGAACTCACGATCCAGCTATTTGGCTGGATCCTGTTCCTCTCCCCTGGCTTAGAACTCCTACCATCATCTTTGGCTTAGTCACTGTGAGCAACACTTCAGAATTGGTAATTGACATTGGGGTGTTTGCTTCAGTGAATTTGGTGCTCACACTTGTTTAACCCTGTCTTTCAGCTGGGAAGGGATATCCATGTGAAAGCTGTAACATAGTACTGAACTCCATAGAGCAGTACCAAGCTCACATCAGCGGCTTCAAACACAAGAACCAGTAAGTGTTTAAATATTCTTCTGTCTGTAGTAGCTACATTGTATAATCTGCTACTGAATAGGAAGCATTGTCTCGCATCTGGCTTATAGTCTGGATTTTTACCCCCCAAAAATCAGATTCATCTGCAGGCAGCTCTAATGTTTAAAAGGTCTACGTTGCTACTTATGTACCAAAGGTAATATGCATTTTGGGGAAAGAGAGGTTTATGAGTCAAATGACACATTGCAGATTTTCCAAATGATGCTGTCTGGTGTGGAGCCCCTCTACTTGGTCAGAACCAAATTGATGAAGCCAATTTGGCAACTGTAACCTCTTATTTGGTTTGGGTCTTGTCCTAGTAGCCTTTCCATACATGTGCTTCAGACATGTACAGGTCAACAGCCCTCTTGACTTCTCTTGTTATTCTGGTCATTAGCATCAAGTTCCTAGGTACCATACCCAGCATCTACTACTCAAAGTTCTGTTTTGTTTTTTTTTGTTTGTTTCACCAAAGCATTTTTAATTTTGATAAAGTTTGTAGAGAAATTTTTTTTGGGGGGGGAACTTCCAGTATATGTCACTGTCAAATGAGTACAGTTTTTTTGGGAGAACTCCATAAAGCAAAATATTTTACATAGAACATGTCATGTGGTGTGTTGCCTGTCTTTCGGACCGTGGGGGTGGCAAGGAAAAATATTTTCTATTATATCATTTTAACACAGAGATCTGCAGATTGTTCTATTATATTAATTTTGTTTTTATGGGACCAGTCAAAGCACCATGGAATCACCACAAAACGTGAAGACTCACAGGGTATGGCATCAAAGAAATCTTATTACCTTTTCTGTATGGCATACGTTAAGCACTTGGGTGATGCTATATCCTGGTGGTGGCATTGGTCTTACCAAGTCTGTGCAAGCACGTGGATGCACTCAACTTGCTGGGGAAACTCTGTTTGCCAAATGCATGGCATTCTACATGACAAACAAGTTTTAGGGCTGTGGCTCTGTCTGTGCTGCAGGTTAGGCATTCTGCCAAAAGTGGACAGTACTGCCTTGTTGCATATAATCCTGTTAACTTTTAGCAGAAATCATCTGAAGATTTATAATTCTTTTCCGTTGGTATGAAGTTAAATCTACAGGTGAGGCCATTTTTGTATGCTAAAACTGCAGATCTTATCGGATTGCTATCCCCACCCATCACTCACTTGCAGGGTGTTTTATTGTGGTGAATGGAAGTGGGATTTTTCAAGACAACTGGATTTTGCACAGTATTGGTCCAGCTTGAGATTCCACAATAAGCATTTTCTGTACACTTTGCAGTGATAATTTTTGAAGCGGTTTCAATAATCTGTCCCATCTCTGTCACAATCCACAGTATACCAGGAGGAATACCTGTTACAGCACGGTACCAGAAGCAGCTGTACACACGAGAGGAGACAACGGGCCCTGATGGCTACAGCTATTTTAGCCAAGACCTCTAGAGAGGAAGCTCCTGCACTCTTTTTGGATTGCCGGTGGCCCAAAAGTGAACATCGCTTCTCAACCCACTACGGTTTTATTGTTCCTCTGGCTGAATGAAACCCTCCTATCCTGCAGTGTACAAGTTTAGCTGATTCAGAACTAATTATTGGCTAAAGGATCTAGAAGGGACAGATATACTAGTTGGCATTTGCAAAGACCTTTAGAATAGTTTTCATTGTGTAATCTCTTGCTGTAACGGCTGATGGGTGAGGTGGGAAGGAGTAGGAGTTGTGTCTGGCACAAGTAAGACTTGGCACCTACCAGTGTTCTATCTCGAGCCCATCCTTTCCCTCTGCCCGGAAGAAGCAGGCGGGAGTTCTACACCCACTACCAGCCAGAGAAGAGCAACTTTTGGAAGAAAGTTCATAATTCTTGGTTATGGGGTGCTTGTTAAATGTGAGATGTGGAATGGGCATAATGGACAGACTGATGATCTCCTCCTTGCCTAGAAATGGGGTGTTGCATCGCTGTGTTTGTCGTGCCCCTTTCTGAATTAACTGGGTTTGTGTGCAGAGTTTCTTAGGTCACCAATATGCCATTTGCATCCTTTTTGTAGTTCTGCAGATGTTGGTTCTGGAACATCTGGTAATCTGTTTAATAAAAAGCTGTTTCTGTTAGTAGTATGCATAATCTGCTTCAGAAAAGCAAGCAGAAGGAGTGCCTCCAGAAAACTGCACTTCTCCCTCGGTTCCTGGCATACTTGTGGAAACTTGTGCTTTTGAGCCTCACTATGTACAGCTTTCTGTTGTGTTAAATGTTCATCAGAAATGTTTTTTTGGTATGATGGAAGGTTTGAAAAAATGTCCTTTTTCAGAACCTTAAAGCTTTTTAATTAATTTGTACAAAGGTTTAGCAAGGGTGAAAGAAGAAGCAGCTATGGTCTGACTTTGAGGCAATTCTAAGCTGAAAAATAGTGCTTTGCATAGCATTGTGGGCCTTCCACTTGTGAACTTTGCAAGTCCAAGAACTAGTTTCCATCCATGTGAAACCATTTCTCAGAGACAAGACATTCTTTCCGATTGCTTCCTGAGACTCGGAAAACAACATAGGTAGCAGCTGGGAATGCTGCTTGAGGCAAACTGACTATGCTTTGTTTGGACAGAGGTAAAATTAGTTTGCGTTTTGGTCATTTCCTTTTCCCTTGTATGGATATAAGATGGTAAGCTTGAAGTCTCCTAACATCTGAGTTTGTTTCAAGTCTGCCAGATGGCCTGTTTCCAAAACAATCAGTTGAAATGCTAATCTTATTTGTAAGAAAAAACCACTCACATAAGCATAAAGGCAAGAGATGTGAGATACTCCTCTCTTGCCTAGCCCATCGTTAAACTGCTTTTCTACTCGTGTTCAAAACAGGATGTGGCTCTTTTTTCCTTAGTGCTTCTCCCTTCCTACCTAATTGCTTCAGTGTTATTGATCAAAATGGACATTCATTAAAATTGGACAGCTTGTACTCTTGAGTCTTGACTGACTACAGCTTTGGAGTCGTCCCTGCTTATAAGTTTGTTTAGCCCATGAGTCCCCATAATTAGCAGCAAAACAGTATTCTATGTAGACGGTTCAATTCTGTGTCTCATAGGGCCTCTCATTCTTCATTACATTCCTGACCTCATCTTCTGGGTGGCAGTTATTTTTGGAACCTAGGTATGGGAGATGGACTATCCTGTCCTCTACCTTATCTGGTGGCTTTCATTGTGATTTTGCTCCCCTTTCCATTCTGACTACAGGAGTGGGGCAGGGTATTGACTGGAGACACACTCTTTCTCTCTTTTCTGATAGCCTCTGTGCCTCCATCTGCTGTATTGCTCCGATAGAAATGAGTGAATATTGCTACCAGTATTTACACTTAACATGCAACTCCTCTTGGATATGTCTGTGTACTCAGTCTGTACCACCCTAGAACACTTAAGAGAGTCTTCGTCTGTGCTTTCCCAGCAGTATTGTTAGTCAGGGTAAGGTTCACGTCAGACCACACCAGCGGTGCATTTTCTTGCATTCCCTCTTATCTTCCCTACAATGATGATTCATTACCGCATTCCAAGTAAGCAGTCTTTCTTACAATAAAAAGCTTATCTTTCTCTTTTCACCAATGACAGGTTTTTGTGTATGAGATATTCTCTACATGTAGAACACAGGACAAGCATAGATGATTAATATATATATATATATATATATATATATATATATATATTGCCACTATGTACTGGGGTGGAGTGATGAGGCTAGGTGTCCTGGATATACATCTCCCATTTCCAACAGACTGAGCCGTGTTTGCCCTGTAAGTCCCTAAAATTGCTTTATTTCTTTATTTAGCCTCAATCAAACACAATGACTAAGGGGGAGATATTGAAGTAATCTTGTGCATAAGGCTCTGCTCTTACAACATGTGGTGAAAAGCTCTATCTGCATACATGCACATGCTACACAGCTTTTCTGTAAATAAATTGATGGGACAAATAATGTATCTTCTGACTTAAACAGTAGCTATGTGTGCCTAACCCTTTATTTTAAACTTCATATTTTTCCTGCATTTGACTTTTCTGTTTTGGCGTTCTCCAGTGTCTTGTGCTGTACTTGGATTTTAGTCTTTGACCTGCCCAATGAACTTTCGCAGCCTAGAGTAGAGATTTGAGCAAGATGATTGCCTCCATGAAGATCTAACCTTATAATTTGATTTCTGTTGTATATTGCATTCTGTTACAGTTGCTAAGAACAGATATTTTTGGCAAGTCCAAAGCTGAGTAAGTACTCTGTTACATCATTAACATGATGACTATGCTGGCTCAGCCTGATATGGAAGCGTCATGATAAATTCATGAATTTCCATTTGTCTCTTGCCTGTTATTTGGGTTGGGGTTTTAGATAGATAGATAGATAGATAGATAGATAGATAGATAGATAGATAGATAGATAGATAGCCAGGTACACTCCGCCTTATTCTAGAGATTAAAGTTTTGTTTTTCTATTCATATTAACAGTAGATGTTCCATTTCTGTTTGTGTCAAGTTTTTACCCTAGGAGCTGAGTATCAACATACAGGGCTGGTCTTAACATGATTCCAGGAAAACCCAAATTCTGCACTTGAGACAAATTATGTAAAATGAGAAATTAGCATAAATACCATAATTTGATGTGTGTTACTTGCACTGTGTGTGCTTGAACAGCTTGCTTGGATTACAGGGAGAAGGGAGAGAGACTACTTTTAGCCACAGCCACTGGAGCTGAATCTTGCTTTAAAGCATGCATAGAAGTGAAACTATGGCAGTGTGTGCTATAGCCCATGAAGATCCACTTCTCAGCACAATACGCAAAGAGGTTACCATGATCTAGTAACAGTAGATACCTATTGGGTTTTTGTTTTGAGGGCTTGGGATGAGGTGCAATAGAGTTGAACTGAACCGGAACTGCTGACAATATTAACTATTGACAGTATAGAAGTGGCAGTGCAAGGCCTGTTGATATGTTTGTGGCATATTTGAAGGATGCCAAGAAACGTCTCATCTGTCTGGATACTACAATGTCCTCTACAAACACTGCTAAAGTTCTGGCTTTCAAGAAACGTCAGTGAGCTACCTGAACATTGTCCTGCTTCTTGGTTGCTTCTGTAGCAGAAGACTAGCTACTACAGTGCAAATTCATATTTTGATGCATAGAGACTCAAGGAATCTCTTCGACAAGAACCAAAGATACAAGTGGTCAAATTCAAATCAAAGAAGTTTATGATCATTAGCAGAATGGTTCCTTAAATGTGAAAAAGCTTGTCTTAGGGCAGGTAAAACTCCTGCAGGGTTCGCTGTGCCTTTCCTAACTTTTCCAGTGATACACAAGTGAATGAACTTTGTAATAATGTAGGGGCCTGAGTTTAGTCTCGTACTTGCTTGCTCCCTCTCTCCCTCTTTGGTTTTTATTATTAATATGATTTAGAAATAATTGAATCATTTGTCCTTTTTTAAAATAAACTCCCCCCCCCAAAAAAAACACACACTATCAGGTAATATATGCTCTTGCAATGATAGAAGTGTGAAGATTCAGGATAATGGGGGAAGGAAGAAAAAACAAAGTGTATGTGAAGCAGCATATTTTACAGCAAAGGCATATGTTCTGAAATGGTTAAGAGTTTGGTAAAAGCAAGCCCTAGATTGGATGACCCAGTTAGATTGTTGCTTGCTAAACTCGCTGTTCCGTTGTACCAAAGAACCTAGCTGTTCCTCAGTGTGGTGTTTCCTCTGCCTGCAATAGACACTCATCGTTGAAACTGCTGTGGAAATATATATATTCTGAGATCCCTGAATATTTCATGTGCCTGCAAATTAGAGGAAAGTGTCTGCATATATTATGTCCTGGGGCAAGTTTTCCTCATTATGAATGGAGCTTTACCATCAGGTGGCAGCACAAAGCCTTGCTAATGCATGGCTCTCTGTGTCATATTTAATCGCGGAGAAGGAATCTTTGGATCTTTGCTGAATCTCCCCAAGTAACCATAAATACTTCCCAATTTAGAGAGAAATTGACAAGCAAAGATCACGTGCATCCCAGGAATTAGACCAGATGGATTACAGGGAAAAGAGTCGGAGCAGGGGGCGATCAGGGAAGATTTTGCATCCTGTAGGCTGAAAACCATGGTCTGTCTGGCTTCTGTTGCTGTTAAGGAAAAAAGAAGCTTTCTGCCCATAGCATAACTTGACTGCCTGCTTGAACAGACACATTTGGTTGTATTTGGCTAAGTGATACACAGAGTAGACACATTAAAATTAATGAACCTAAGTCATCCATTGATGTCAATGGGTCTACTATGAGTACTGCTGTGGGTCTGCTATGAATACTCCTATTTTCAAGGCTGCTGTTGCACAGAGTGGAGTAGCCATATCATCATTCTCTTTCAAGGACACAGCCCTTCTGTCTGAGAAACAGCAGGAACGACAGAAGCTTACTGAAGTGTAAGGATGATTTGGAAGCACAGCATGGCCCTTTGTATACTATGAAGAAGCACTTCATCCATGTTGTAGAACCTGCTGTAGCACGGCATTCCCAGAGGGTTTCCACATGGATGCAAGATGTGTAGATAAAATACATTTTCAGAACGACACAATTCTGTAATTGTGAGTGCTGAGAAAATATGACGGTCCTGCTGCGGAAACATACTTTGAGGAAAGACAGCTGGATGCCCCTCAAAAAACGAGTTGACTGTGGTTTTATTGCATATAAACAGACACCAGTTGTTAGGCATGGAATAACAATTATTCCTGTACATCTGAGTGCAAACAGGATGGCACCTACATCCTTGTAGGGAGCCTCCATGTTTTCTCATCCAACATTCCTTGTGCTTAGGAGTTCAGTGTGACAGCTTTGGCTGTGGAGGAAGAGGTCCTCATTGCAAAGGCCCTGGACATCTTTCCCTGGAGGAAATGATGTTTGCCTACCTGACGTCCTCTTAAGACTGGAACACTGGTTCCTTCCTACGTCAAACACTAAATTTACCAGACTTGCTCACTGAATTCAAGTCTTGTACACATCTGGAATACTTATTGCTAGCACTAGATTTTTATTAATTCAGCTGAACAAAGTTGAACTTCATTGCTTTCCAAACTTGTGAAAATCAATTTTGTCCCGTTCAAGTCACACCTCTTCTGTGACTACGCCTAGAATCTGGGGCCTAGATCGTAAAATGTGTGAGTTAACTTAGGTAAATGTGGTCTTCCTTAGCATTTGCAAATTCAAAATTAAAAAAGCTAATGTGTTTTCAGTGATCATGCAATAGGGTCTGAGTCATGAGATACTTATGAACAGGTCCTCAGGCTTTTTAAAAATTTTGCAACTTGTCTTTGGGCTTCTTGTAAAGAGCTCCTGGAGAGACAGAGGTGTGTGTGTATAAACTCTATATTCAACTGGACAAACATGGTTTCTCAAGGGAAAATCCCCACTGCTGGAGCTTGGTAAAAAGCTGGAGTCATTCCTGTTCATCTGTTACAGTTTTTAGGAGCACATGAAGGGAGAGCAGCTTACACCTAAAAGCAAACACAAGGTGTTTATCCTATATGCACTGGTGGCAGCCCAGCTGGGCTATGGCCCCCTCTAATATGTAGATACGGTGGCAAACACAGTCTTTCTGTTGTGTAATATGTGAAATAAGCTCTGTGTAAGGATCACTTAACTGAATATAGTTTGAAAGTTATTTCCTGTGATCTTTCAGCCCTTGAAAGTTGAGTGTTGCTTCCTTGACATGCCTGGGTTTCCATGCGCCTCCCTGGTGAATAAGGCAGACCAGAAATTGGCTTCTTTCAGGCCCTCCAAAGCTTCAAGCAACAAACACATCAGAACATCAGCTTGGTGATACATAAGAGCTATTTTATCAGACGAAGAACCGCATGGGGAAAAGGGGAGGTAGGAGAGAAATATCTGGCCTACTACAGTGTTTTTAAAGCAGGGGTAGGAGAATCGGGTCTTCCAGATGTTGCTGGCTGTTGGCTATGCTCACTTCAGCTGATGAAATCTGAATGAACACCAGTTTCCTCCTCTCTGTTTTAAGGGGCAGGGAATGCCTTTGGTGTCTCTGTCCTTCTGTGCCTTATTACAAACTCGGAAAACAGAACTACGGTTTCCAACTAGGACCTACTCACAAAAAGCAAATGAGGTGGGACGCCTCCGTCTACATTGTTCCACTTCATGCAGCAGCTGGGGGGCTTATATAATTGACTACTTCTCTACATATAGAAAAGAATGTTTCTGTGTAGAGAGAGAGAGCATTCTGCCATACGGCTATGTTTGTGATCTGAAAACAGTTCCATTTCTTGCCGATGAGTCTCTTCATAGGCTTACCACCTCCTCATCTGTTGGCAAGCACTAGTCCCAAACCATGTTTTGTTTTTGTTTTTTTTTTAAATAATTTTTATTGCGTTTTTTCAGACATAGACAGAAGAAAGAAGAAAAAAAAAAAGACAAAAAGAAGATAAAAAAGAATCATAACCTTTCAACAACTTATTTCAGCTTTCTATCGAACTTCCCCGCATCTCCCGCACAATGCATTCTTAACAATAAATATATCAACAAATTATAACCTTGTTTCATATGTTTCTTTTGTACTTTCAATTGCAGTTTCAGTTTAAATCCCTTATTGTCCATTTACTCTAAAAACAAAACATATTATCATTTTTAGCATTTAAACTTTGATTCTTTCAATATTATTATCCAGTTTCATAAATATTAAACTCTCATTGCTGGGGCTAGCATTTCAAATTATACGTCATTTTATAGTTCATATAACTTGTAAAATTTTTGCAAATAGTTCTTAAATTTTTCCCAGTCCTCCTCCATTGCTTCTTCTCCCAGGTCTCGGATTCTGGCAGTCATTTCGGCCAACTCCATGTAGTCAATCAGTTGCGTTTGCCACTCTTCCAGTGTGGGCAAATCTTGAATCTTCCAATATTTGGCGATCAGAATTCTTGCTGCTGTGGTAGCATACATAAAAAACGTTCTATCCTTCTTTAACACCTTTTGGCCGACAATACCCAAGAGGAAGGCCTCCGGTTTTTTAGGGAAGGTGTACTTAAACACCTTTTTTAACTCGTTGTAGATCATTTCCCAGAAAGCCTTCACTCTTGGGCAGGTCCACCAAAGGTGAAAGAATGTTCCTTCAGCCTCCTTGCACTTCCAACATTTGTTATCAGACAAATGGTATATCTTAGCAAGCTTGACTGGGGTCATGTACCACCTGTATATCATTTTCATGATGTTTTCTTTCAAGGCATTGCATGCCGTAAACTTCATACCGGTGGTCCATATCCTTTCCCAGTCTTCAAACATAATATTGTAACCAATGTCTTGAGC